GTATAATCTAGCAACTGCTACAGTCAACACAGTATAATCTAGCAACTCTAGAACTTTCTATCAAGGCATTCTCTCACCACCCTCATGGGGCTGTGGCCTACAGGGTACGTGACCATGGCTGATGTGTTCTCTGTCCCCAGGAGCTGATCACCACCCTGTACATTGGCTTTCTGGGTCTTATCTTCTCCTCCTACTTTGTCTACCTGGCTGAGAAAGATGCAGTGAACGAGTCTGGCCGCATCGAGTTTGGCAGCTACGCAGACGCTCTGTGGTGGGGGGTGGTAAGTTGAAGCCTTTATCTGGGGTGTCTCAGGTAGGGGACACATGGACATGAGCAATGCGGTTAGGATATCGGACTCTATTTGCTCAATTTCTCTTTTTTTAAATTTTTTTTTTTTTTGCCTCCTCCACTGAGTCTACCAACCCCAGTGTTAAAAGCCTTTTGAAGCACAAATTTTATACTCTCAGATTACAGTATGGGCCCCCTGTGTGCCACAGTGAGTGCTCTCTGGTCCCTGTCTTGAAATTTAAAGATTGTTATCTTTCAGCTTCTATCCCATCTAGCTGGTGGGGCAAGGAATTGCATACTGGCACTTGGTTCCTCAACCTGTGGTGATTCTTACCATGGAAGGATCCTAGGCTCAGAGTGCAGGGATGTCTGTGCTGACCCAAGGAGCATGCCTGTGCCAGAGATCAAAGTATGCAATGGCATAATACCATCATGGCCCCTGAGAGCTGGGAGAAAGAAGCGGGGGCTTTTGGATGTGAGATCTGTAAAGTCTTTCACTGCCCCAGGCAGCTGTAGTGTGATTGCCAACTGGGCCCTAAGGTCATGAAGATGGCCAAGAGCCTCCTGGGTTAGGGTGACTCAAACTTGCCGAGCTGCCAGTCTTTGTGGAGCCTGGTATGTGACAGATGACCTCTCATGCTAGTGTTGAATGTTCCAATGCATGTGTGCATGTATGTATGTGTGTGTGTGTGAGAGAGAGATGGAGAGAGCAGAGGTGAGGATGGTGCTGAAGAAATCCAGGTACATTTCATGACCCAGAAACCATTGCTCCTGGTCTAAAGGCCTCTGGTTAAGGTAATTTGGGATCCTCCAGAAGTTAATAGCTGCCCCATGGCCTTCAGGTCCTCCTCTGGAAGTAGGCTTTGTCCAGGCATCGAGTTTTGGGGAACCACAAGTACCTGACAGGAGCAGGCAGTTCAGAGCAGGTGTGGGCCACCCAGGACTCCAACTGTATCTCATCCTCCCAGCTGTGAAGTCAATAGACTGTCCAGATGTTATACAGGGAAACACCATCATGGCTGGAGGAGCTGCCAGGGCTGGCACCCCTGGGCGGGCATCAAGGATACTGGAACCAACTCTGTCCCACCTGGCATTCTCAGTCTGTTGATTTTGGGGCTTACTAAGCTGGTGAGAAGGTTGGTTGGACTGTGGCAGCCTATAGAAAGAGGCAGCACAGAACTGTGGGAACCTGAGTGCCCCTTGAATACCCCAGCCAGGAATGAACAGTCTTGAGGCCTGCTTACTCTCAGAGCTTCTAGATTGGGGTATAGATGGGAAGCTGGACAAACACGTGTGCCCACAATTCCCGTGTCCCCAGGAAGCAGGGCACACAGCAAGAGCTCTTGACATTGGCTGAGTCAGTTTGTTTCCTGGAAGTTTCTAGCATTCTAAACAATTAGGGGAAGTAAGGACAGGCTAAGAAGCTCCCAGGTTGAGACAGGCTCTGGGTTCAGCCTCTGCTTACCCTTCAGGGGGCCGATGTCCCCAGATACCCTAGTATGAAAGGACCAAGCAGGATTGGTAGGAGAGCTCATTGGTCTAGCAGGAAGCTTGACTGTGACAAAAGGACACATCCCAGGGATATAGCAGGGCCTACATGGGGGGCAGGCTACTCCAAACCAGAATTTTCTGGTGGGAGATAGGCTGGCTGAGGCACTGCCCACAGGGTGGCTGATAAGTGATGCCCAGCCTTAGCAGTGCCCAGCCTTGGCGCTGCCCTGCCTACGTTCCCAGCCTCCTGCAGGAGCTGCTTCCCAACAACCCCCAGCCCGCCCCTGGTCCCCCAGCCCTCGGCAGAGAGGCGCTCCCACTCCCACACCTGTGCAAACATCCGCCCGCCAGCCGGGAACACGGCCCCTTTGTGCCCAGCTTGGCACCGGTGCTCCAGCCTACTCTGTCAGCTGCAGCCCAGGCCTTGGCCACAACGTACCCTGGCCTGGCTATTGTTTCTGTGAGGCCCTGTGCCCTTGGCTGCCCAAGGACCCCCTCTCCCCCAGCACCCAGCTCAGGGGGCCACCAGCTCCCATTCATTCAGCGACTGTCTCCGCAGCTGTCTGGTGGGAGCAGCCCAAGGCTGTGTTCCTGGCACCTCTAGGGTAATCAGAACTTGAGTGCTGCAGGATAGGATGGCCGGGCTCAGAGTAATGTAGCCCTGAGCCAATGAACAGTCATCTCCTTTGTCTTCCCTCATTCCACAAGGGGAGTATGGCCCCACCTTGCCCTGTCCCTGGGCTCCTCATCTGTTTAATGTGGAGGTCATGTGAGCACCCCCAGGCGAGAACATTTTCTGAGTGCCAGAACCATCTTCTATCTGCTGTACTTGCCCCAGGCCAGACCTCAAGCCCTCTCCCCTCTTCCAAAGGGTGTTGGCTGAACCCCAGGAGCTGGACTAGCTTCCCCTGAGGTACACTGAGGTAGGCATTGGGCCTAGAGGCATGCCTGCACAGGTGGGAACATCTCTCACCCTGTTGGCCTGCGGAGGCTGTGATGAAGCGGGGGTCCTCAGCTGGCCAGTGCTTGTTCACTGGCAGGGACCAGAAAGCCTGTCTCCTGCCAGCAGGTAGATTCAGTATGTCCTGTTCTGCTCAGACCGCATGGCTCTGAAGCCGAGGCCTGAGCAGGGCGATGCTCACTTGGAAGGCTCTAGAGAGGGCCTTTCGTTTTTAAGTCCGATTTCTGGTGGCCCCTAGCATCCTTTGTGTTTCACATCATTGGATTAGGGGCAGGAGGCCCAGAAGGGAGCTGTAATTCTGAAAAAGACCATAGTCTATTTATGTGTTGGGTGGGGAGAGGTAAGTCACGTGGAGGACACAGGTAAGTCCAGAATGTAGGTATCCGGGCAGCATTTTGTGGGGTGTCCCTGTCTTCATCAGCTATGGGTTCCAGCAGCTAAAAAGCAAAGCTCCATGGACTGTTTTCCTCTGGTAGGAACACACACATGAGTGTGAGGTCCCCAGAACCCAGAACCCCCTAATGTAGTATCCAAGTGTGGGAGCTCCTCAGACTTTCCTTTACCCCTGAAACAGAATGCATTTGTTTGTATTGCGGTCTGAGTACAGGAAAATGCTGTTTCTGCAAACACGGGCTCCTCTGTTTAGTGCCTGGGGGTCTCTGAAAACATGCAGCTGCTGGGCTCTGTTTACCCGAAGTGGCTAAATACAGAACTTCAAGTGAACGGGCTGGAACCCCACCCTGTATTTCAGTCCCTTAAAAAACTCATTCTGATGGTGCTTCAGTCCTTACCTGGAGGCTCTGGAAAGTTCCCTCCTCCCAGGCTGGATTGCATCCTGCAGAGCCTTGGGGTAGGGAGTTCTCCTAGGTAGCCACATGCAGGTCCTGTGAAACTGTTCATGAGAGGTGCCATTCTTCAAGACTATTCTGACTATGGAGGAGGGAAGGCCAGAGCAGGGGCCAGCAATGGTAGCACCTTACCCTTTCCTTTTCCATGTAGGTTCTAGGAGAATCATGCAGCAAAGGCCAAGGGCCTGCTAGGACCCTTGCTAGTGAACTCTTCCAAGGAAGTGTCTTAACAGTTAGACTTTCTAGGACGACTAGGAGTCTACGAAGCACATCCATCTTCTTGTAGCTGCTGTTCAGTAACCAGTGCCTAGATTTAATACATGGACTCAGCAGGTTAGGTGATGATGATGCATAGTGTTTTAGTCCACCAGGCATCATCTGTGGAGCCCTAGGCATGCCAACTAGCCTCTTCGGGTACCTCTAGTCATTGGGTATAGATGAGAGTTAAGTCAGTGAGGCTCCAGAAGGTGAGCTTTGGGAATGATTGTGGTTGGAGACTCTGGGACAGGCCATCTCCAGACTCAAAGGAGGAGACTAGATGCCACCACCAGTTCTGGAAGTCCTTCCCAGTCTCTTCAGGAGACTTGCAGATCTGGCCACTGGGGACAGGTTCCAGATAGCTCTATAAAATTACCCTTTTCAGAGGGGCTGTGTCTGTGACTTTGGGAAAAACAACTTGACTGGGCCAGGCAACCTGGGAGTGAGGACTCCTGAACTAGAAGGTTTGTGGTAGCCCACGAGAAGGAAAAGGGTCCTAGTAGCTAGGTGCCCTCCAGCAGGGGGCTGGACAGCACTCAGGACCACTGTACTGGGTCCTTCCTACTACTGATCCTAGGAGTAGAGGGTCAGCTAAGACCTTAGGGAAAAGGCCTGAGGCCTTTTTGCCTGCATAAAGAGTTCTCACTCACTTGTTTCTTGCCATCTAGGCCATCCCCCCTCCACCTTTATAGATGGTTTCCTTCCTTCCTTCCTTCCTTCCTTCCTTCCTTCCTTCCTTCCTTCCTTCCTTCCTTCCTTCCTTTCCTTCCTTTCCTTCCTTCCTTTCTCTCCCTCACTCTCTCCCTTTCTTCCTTCCCTCCCTCATTTCCTCCCTCCCTCCCTTTTTTCTTCCCTCCCTCCTTTCCTCCTTCCCTCAATCCCTCTCTCCATCCCTTTCTTTCTTCCTTCCTCCCCCACTTCCTTTCTTTCTCCCCCTCCCCTTTGGACTGGGTTTCATGTAGCCCAGGCTAGCCTCAAATAAGCCATATATCCCAGATAACCTCGAACTCTCACTGGCTCCAGCCCAGGTCTGTCTTCATGAGTAGCTCCTGTCTTGTGTCTGACTCCCTAGAGAAGGCAGCTGTGGGACAGCTCTCACATGTGGGGCACAGGCCCTCTGGGAAGGAGCTTCAGCTCTCTTGAGTCCTCTCACCCAGCAGCCTGCTGGCAGCCATGCCCTCAGTCCCAAGAGTGGCTCGGCTTCAACTTACATTATCTGAGCGGTTTCAGGTGTGTGTGCATATAAGCTTTCTGAACAGCATGCTCTCTGGCTGTCCGTCATGGGTGTGGCTTCTAGACCCCTTTTGTGAACTTACGCAGCATATATGTGCACCCTCACGGTGCCTCATCCCAGTTGGTGTGATTGCTTTCTCATGTGTATGTGGGTGTGAGCAAGTGTCCTTGTGTATGTGAGGCACTTTTATTTTTTTTTTTTTACAACTGTATGCCCACATATGTAGAACAGGGTGGTCCCTTTCGAGGGACCAGCCATGAATGACTTGCTATGGCCTCTGTTTGTGTGCAGTGTGGATTTGTTTAAGGACAATGACATTGTGGGGAAGATTTCATGTGGGCAGTTGTGGGAAACACCAGTATGCAGCCTCTACTGCCTGCTGCAGCACTGAAGGGGTGGCCCAGTGGTGGGCCTGAGCCCAGCTGTGGCCTGCTCTGTTGTTTACCATCCAGGGAAATTGACCTGTTGCTTCATGACTTGTTAGCATACTGGCCAGAGTGTCAATCTTGGTGCTGTGGGGTTACTCCTGATGTCCTTGTCCTCTGCTCCCCAGCTCTAGCTGGTCAGAGTGCTTGCCTGTGCTGTGAGCACGTAACTCCATGTCTATTCATATGTGCCTAGTCACTTTTGACTCCCATGATTCTCTCCCCCTTCCCTCCTCCTTAGTGGCCATGGGAAGAGCCATGAGAACAAAGCAGTCTGTCTGGGCATGGAGTGGGCAATGCTGGGTGGGGTTTGGGGGTGAGGAGCTTGAGGCTTCCTCTCTGAGCCTCACTTCAGTTGGAGTCTATTAGACAGTATTCCCCAGGCCCCATCCTTGCTGACCCTGTCACTTAGGGGGTCACTTGGGGATTCTCATGTAGGTCTTGGCCAGGTGGTTGTCACCTGACCCCAGAGGGGTAACAATTGAGGTCCTAGCGTGAGCAGGCTATAAAGACCTAAAACGGGCAGGCTTTCCCACCACACTGACCTGCCTTAGTTGAAGAGCTCACCTGGACAGTGTGTTATGACCCCGATGGCTGTGTGTGAGTGTGTGTGACCACCCTGTTCTCCCAGCAGGCCCAAGGCAACCTCATAGTGTGACCTAGCAGTTAGGCTCAGCCAGGGTGGGCCCCTAAGTCCCTCATTAGAGGCCCCAGGAGCAAACCTCAGATGTCAGCAGGGGGTGGCTTGGGGGGAGCAGCCCCTCACTCCTATTGTCCCACTGCACACCCTGGACGCTGATCGACCACCGAGAAAAAGGCTAGCGCCTTGTCTTATTCTCTCTGAAAAGGAAAAATGAAACATCTGGATCCCTGGGCTGGTGACAGGAAGCAGCACATCAGCCCCATCCTGGGGCTTTGTGGACCGCTGGCCTCGGTGGGAGCTTCCGGCCTCCTGGGGGCCAGTGCACTGCTACTTCGGTGGCCAGGACGGGGTGGGGGGGGTCCTTGGGATGGGGCAGGAAGCCTGGCCCCTGTGGGTGGGCTCAGAGCTGTTGCCCGTCCTGCACACCCTCAACTTCTCTGCAACACCAGCACTGTGCCTTCTGTGGCAGTCGAGTTGAGGGACTTAGGAGACTCAGAAACTTGAACCAACTCACTCCGTTGATGTTCCTGACACATTCACAGAACCGTACCTCACCATCCTGGCGGATAGGGCTTTAGGCTGGTCTCTCTTGTCATCAAGGCACTAGGTGGTGTCCTTTCTGAGGTTCTCAGCTTGTGAGCCACTAACTTCAGTCCTTCTTCCTTGCAGGTCACAGTCACCACCATTGGCTATGGGGATAAGGTACCCCAAACGTGGGTTGGAAAGACCATCGCCTCCTGTTTCTCTGTCTTCGCCATATCCTTCTTTGCACTCCCAGCGGTGGGTTCCATCAGGATCCTTCTCCCTTGTTTCCCACTCATCCTTGCCCCAACTCCTGGCCGTCCCTTAAAGTAGAATAAGAGGCAGCCCGTTGTGGCACTTCACAAGTAGTAAGGTGCAGGGGAGCAGACAGGGCAGAACCTGCAGGCCTGCTCCACAGCTAGGGGTGGCTCTGTCACGTGACCTTTCCAGACCTCACAGGTCTGTGTCTACACCTGTGTGCTCTCAGGGCACACACTGGTTACTTGTCTATATGTGTCACTGTAGGTGTGTCTTATACATGTTGTGCGTATATACTATACACATGTGTTACATATGCAGCTGTTTGTGTTGCACTTGAATAGCATGTTTACCACATGATCTGTGTGTGTACATGTGTTATGTATACATATATGTATGTATTTGTGATTTCGTGTGTGTCATGTATGCATATACATTTGCACCTGTGTTCCATGTCCATATAGTATCTATGTTGCATGGGTCTCTGTAGCACATGGGAGATGATGTGTATTCAAGTGTCTGTTACATGTGCCTGTGTAACACATAGGCACGGCTGATGACACACAGCGGTGTGTCCCCTGCATGGCCTCCAGCTGCTGAGACAGCACAGTTTGTCTGCTGCTGCTCCCCTTGACTGCCCTGACTGCTGTTCTGTGGGCTCCTTGCTGGGGACAGCCTCAAACTCCTGCTCCCTAGGGAGGGTCCCTCTGCCCCAGGGGCATAGGCTGATGACTAAAATACCTGGCTTCCCACAGGTAATGCTTAGAAATGGGTGGAGAGACTCAAGTCTCTTCTGGAGCCAGGCTTCCTGTTGAATGTGCCCTGGGAAGTGGGTTGTCTCCCTGGCTGGAAAAGTGAGGCAGGATGAGCCTAGAAACTACCCCTGTGTGGCATCTGCTGTTTCTCATCCCCACCTTCTGATGGTGCCTGCCTTGCCACAGCCCTAGGCACTGTGCAAACCTGGTCTCCAGATGCTTTTGCCTCTTGCTCTTTCTTGGGACCCCGTCCTCTGCTGTCCACTCACCAGCATGGCGTGTGTGACAGTGGACACCTTCTGCCCCTTACCAGGGGATACTTGGCTCCGGGTTTGCCCTGAAGGTCCAGCAGAAGCAGAGGCAGAAGCACTTCAACCGGCAGATCCCAGCTGCAGCCTCCCTCATCCAGGTACGTGCTGTGCCTGGCAGGCTTGTCAGTGCTGTGCCCTTGCATCTGCCTGGGCATTGGAACCACTCCCAGCCATGGGTCCTTCTACTGTGGCTCCTCCCATGGTGAGGTGGCTCCTTGGGAAAGTACCCACTCTTAGGATGGCAGGATGGGCACAGGAATACAGGACCATCACCCCATAATGTTCCCATTGAGGGCCATACGTGCAGGCTAGGGCAAGGCCTGACCATAGCCACTCAACCAGTCTATACTCTGCCAGTCAGCCTCTGGGGACAGGGATAAGTCAGAGAGGAGGCCCAGTGAGACAGGTCTCAGCCTATAGAGTGGCAGTGCCTCTAGGAGGCCTGGCATCACTGAGGACCAGTGATGAGAGCTAGGGAGAGCAACAGGTACAACAGAAGGATAGCACAAGAGGCTTCACAGAAGCCTGTGTGTTAGGGACAGCAAAGCCTGGGAGCAATAGGGAAAGAAGGTTCTAGAGGTAGCTAAGGAGATGGTGGGCTTTGCAACTGTACTGTAAGCCCTTGAGAGCTCTCCAGAGAACTGGACTGCCCTTTGATGCCAGGGAAACCATTTGGAAACTGGGCCTCTGTAGGTTTTTGTTTTGTTTTGTTTTGTTTTGTTGCTTACTTAGTTTTATTGCTAACAGAGCTGAAGAGTGGTCAGGTGAGGGCCCATAATATGAGTGCTCTGCATGAGCCAGAATCTACATGGACATGACCCTCTAACCCTCTGGATCAAGTGTTCTTGGCAGGCCCCGACTGACTGTGACACCCCTATAGGCCTGTCTCCTGAATTCTCTGATCTGGGCAGGGCCCTGTGTGAGGGGCAGCCCTTCTCAAGGGTTATGGCTCTTGTGGTCTTATCTAAGCTTTTGGCACAGTCCTGAGCCTCAACTTGTTCCTCTGATGCCCTTCCAGAACCATCTGCAGAGGCCTGGACCTTCTGTATAGACAAGAAGTGATCAGCAGCCATGAGGCCAACAGCTGCAGCTGTGTGCTCCCCCAGGCCTGGCTTGACCCCACAGCTTCTCGTTTTCGGAAAACCTTAAATCAGACCCACTAACCCGCCTTGGCCACATTAACACAGCCAGCCAGTTATTTGGTTCCTCAGCTGAGCACAGAGGCCACTGCTCAGGAACCACATGGTCTGTGGACAAGACTCCTTCAGAAGCCACAGCCACAGTGGAAGATGTGCCAGGACTCATACTGGCGGGAGTGGGAAACACGGGCAACATGGGGAAGGCCAGGGGAAGCTGCAGGATGCACGAGGCATGGAACTGCCCACATAGGGTGTGCATGGAACATAAAGCCCTTGGAAGGGCTTCCAAACTGCCCCAGGTCATAGGCAGCCCTTCCTGGGTTTTTGTGTCTGTGCTATGTTCCTATCAGAGTGTAGGGCTATCACTCAGAAGCCTTCCCAGCATGTAGAACGTTGAACTAGTTTTGCTTTCTTATGCTCATAGGGCCTGTAGTGACAAAGCCACCATAATATGTCCTCATAAGAGGCTCTGACATCTTCCCCAACCCCTCCCCTTTTGCTTACTAGTCTCCTTTAGGCTCCTCCAGTGTCTTCCCTAGACCGTCTTGCTGTAATGACCATGTAGAGGGGGTTTTTCCTCTAGAATTTTGGCAAGAGCTTGTCATCAGGGACTCCTCATAGGCACAGGATAGTGCTTAAAACCCTGGAAGGCCTCACCTCCTCTGGTCCCTGGGGCTCTACTCCACTCTGTGCTAGTGCTCACACAGACCTGGGCAGCCCTTTTCTGCTATCTTCTCTGAGTAAACACTGGTTGTCTAACTTCACTTTAGTTGAACATCTCTGTATGACTAGGGCTTGCTCAAGACCCCCTTCAGGAGGGGCCCAGGTAACAGACAAAGGCCTTGGTAGCATCTGAGCTGTGAGTGATAGATAGTTAATGTATGAGGTAGTCTCCTTCCTAATCCTAGAGTGCTAAGTCCTGCTGTCAGGGAAGGAGCCTGGGAACAAGTTGGGCCTGGGGCTCAGGGAAGAGCTGAAGATTCTCTGAGAGGTACCCTGAGTGGCTAGACCAGTGAACCCTCTCTTCTTTCCCCTCTGCCTGTTTTCAGACTGCATGGAGGTGCTATGCTGCTGAGAATCCTGACTCATCTACCTGGAAGATCTATGTCCGGAAGCCTGCTAGGAGCCACGCTCTGCTGTCCCCCAGCCCCAAGCCTAAGAAGTCTGCCATGGTAAGCAACCTCACCAGCCATCACGATGGGGACTGTGTATTAGCAGGTCAGGAAGCTGTAGAGGCCAAGCATGAGACCTGGGTATTGCCACTCAGTGTAGTGCTTGTTAGGGTGCCCATATCATTCTAAAGCTGGAGGAAGTCTACCCCGTGCCTGATCCCAGCTGTCCTCATGTCCCCCACCTTTGAAGCCATATTGGACTGGCCATGCCAAGACTAAGACTATAATAGGTCTAAAGAGAGTGCTTTTGGGCTAGGATAGGCCAGCTCTATTAGCTGCTGGAAGAAAGCTCTGGAGAGAATTCTGCTGGGCTTCCCTTGCTGGGTAAAGCAGGCAGAAGGGAAAGGTAGAGCTCTAGACCACAGAGGAGCAAGTTCCAACAGCTGTGGGAAGGAGTCCTGCCATTTGCCTGGAGCAGTGAGGAAAAGGTTGTGCTCTGCCCTTTCCTGGCCCTCATCCTGACTCTCCTTGAACAGACAACCTTCCCAGCTTCCAACTGTCACTTGACACTTGAACTTGCTCTTCCTCTGTCTGAATGCTCCCCCTGGCTTCACACGACCTGCTCCCTGACTTTGTTCAGAAGACCTCTTTAATGAGGCTCCAGATTCGGCAACTGTGCATCCTACCACATACTCTGCTGCCCTGGCCTTCAGGCCCACTGCCCCGGTGCAAGTGTGCCTATTACAGTCTACTGGCTTTTTGTTTGTTTTTGTCTGCCTGCCTCTCTTAGGCTGTGGCTCATAGAGGGCCACACTAGGCCAAGCAACACCCTGACTCCTCCAGCAGCACCAGCACGCCAAAGCCCCATTCCACCAATGCTTGCAGAGCTTAACCCCTGACCCATGTTCCCTCAAGGGCTAGACTTGGGTCTTTACAGGTGCTCTGGGGCTGAGCACAGGTTAAGGATCTGGTAGATGGTACTCAGGAGCTGCCACTCCTCATGTGGACTTCTTAGGTAAAGAAGAAGAAGTTTAAGCTGGACAAGGATAATGGGATGAGTCCTGGAGAGAAGATGTTCAGTGTCCCTCACATTACATATGACCCTCCAGAGGACCGGAGGCCAGACCATTTCTCTATTGATGGCTATGACAGCTCAGGTAAGCAAGCTCACATGTGTGTAGGGACAGGATACCCAGTGCTTGCCCTGAAGCAGTGTCAACCTGGATGTGGGGCGCTTCCATGTCACCAACCCTTAGTCCTCTCCTGGCACTCTGTCTGTAAGGCCCCATAGCACATATGGAGTCATTGCCTACCTTGGGAATACAAGCATGGCTTGAGGTCTCTACCACAGCAGGTGGGATGACAGAGTAGCCATAGAAGCTTCTGGAAGCTTTGAAGCCATGTTCTCCTAGTCTTTCCCAAGATGGTACTCACTACTCAGTCTGTTGAGAGCATGCTTACAACTGGCTTAGAATGTTGGGGGCCAGCATGGCCTCACCTGACCGCAGAGAGATAACATGTATTCTATTCACTGGCTTCTCTCTTTTAGCACACAAGTTCTTTGTTAAAAAAAAAAAATGGCTGTGGTGACCTCTTGGAGATTTTCCCACTCAGAGGGATACCCAGAGGTGAGGATGTAGAGATAAGGCCTCTCTGTAGGCCCTGGAGGGCCAGTGGCTTGCCGGTGAAATTATGAGGGCATACTGCATTAGACAGGTTTTCTTAATGCAGGCCTGTCCAGGGTTTGGATGCCTGGGTCCTAGTTAGTTTTGCCTCTGTAAGGCCACTGTGAGGCTCTATAATACCCACCTAAGAAGGGAACCCAGAGATGTCAGGCTTATTTTTCAGGCCACAGTGGGAATATAGAAAGGCTAAGGGCACTATTGACATATCCTTCCTTTAGTCTGATGCTGTATCAAGGGACCACGTCGAGAGTAAAAGGTCCCCACTGATGAGAGAGACTTCTCAGGAGGTGTATGTGCTGTTTCCATTATCATGGCACACTGTCGACCACTGTCCCATGAGAGAGAGCTGTGTGGTTCTGGGACTCTCATATTCCTGGCACCAGATGCAGAGTGGACATTCTGAGTTTGTAGCATAACCCATGAGAGATGGCATAAGTGGCTGTGCGGGGAACTTCCCATGCAGCTCTTGTATCTCTCTGAAAACTCCAGTGCCCACCTCAGGGTAAGTGACTCTAGCAGCTGCCTATAACTCAAACTTGAATGGTTCTGGTCTTTTCCTTCCTCTTAGTCAGTGTGGGTATTGAGATAGTTAGCTATCACTAGGACCAGATGTGGCTCAAGTCACCATGTGCTTTTTGCTCAGCATCTCCTGGGAAGCCCCTTATACTGTCCTGATGGCTGTTTCCTTTTAGGACTGTGTGCTGAGGCAAACAGTCCAGACACCAAACAGTCCACAAGTTCTGCATCCTCCAACCCAATCAGTTTACAGACTATTACATGGCAGTTGCTCTTCTAAAGAATCTGGATGTGTCATGAGAATGTAAAAGAAGGCTCTATGCAAATGCTATGCTATTTTAAGGGACCAGAGTGTCCATGAATCAGGGAGTCCAGGAACCATTCCTCCAAAGGTAGGGGGGAAAGGCCTTGCAAATGTTCCTAACTAAAGTCTCTGCACAAGATGTGGTCCTAGGTGGAGGGGACAAGTGATGGAAAGCACAAAGAAGTGAAAATTGGGCCTCAGCACCTGAGGTCAGGGAGAACCCTCATCCAGGTGGAGAGGTGGAAGCTTGAGCCAAAGGCACAGGTGCTCAGCTTGACACTCCCCCTCTTGAGTACTTGCTTGTTCCAGCGATGACAGGCAACGCAGGGCCTAGTGCTGGCTCCTGTGGTCCTGGTTTCTGCTGTCAGAATCTTGCCTCTCATTCAGAATTGTCCCTGCTTACTGTCAACGAGTCCCACGCTCCACGGGAAGGGTTCATGGGGAACCCTTTGAGTGTCCTATGGGGACTGGACATGCCATTTCAGTATCTGGGCCATCAAGAGTCATGTCCGGCCTCCTGTGCCATATGGCCAGGGCCAGTGCCTGGCAGGAAGGAGGCACCGACTTTGCATGCTTGGTAGAGTAGGAACTAAGGGCCCAGACCTGCAGGGTGTGTGCAACATCATCCCCTGTGTTGACACTCTGCCCCTCCTCGCCCGCTCTGTTGTCATTTAGGTTTGTTCCTCCCTTCTCAGATATCTTCCCAATGCCTGGGACCTATCACAGAATGTTCTGTGCCTAAGCAGAATGTTCCAGGATGCACCAGAAACTTTATTGGCAGTTACAAGGACAGTTTCAGGTATAGAGGGTGATCAACAGTTTTGTTCCTCATCCTTCTTTTCACAGGTGTCAGGGCCCCAGCCTACCAAGACCAGCTCGTCTGAGGGGAGCTGACCTGTGTCTTGTGTCATTGTTCCCTCTGTTACATCTTGACAGGAGGGTGGGAAGTGTTCAAGAAAGGAGCCATGGCTGCTCTCTGCGACTGAAGGCTATCCTAGGCATCCCGTCTGTCAGGACCCAGCCTGGGCCCCACTCTACTGAGCGCCAAGCTGCTGCATCCTCATCAGATGGCATGGGGATTTGGCTCAGGGCTGGCCACATCTCCATGAGCCCCTGGGACATACTCCCCGCCTGCCCACTGGAACGGGCACAAAGGGCAATTGTGCCAACAAATGCCCAGTGCCCCTGCAGCTCTGCTTCAGGGGTAGGACCATTGTCTCAATGCAAATAGGGGCTTTCTGCTAATGCTAATGGGCAGGTTGGGTGTGAGCAGAGGCGGCAGGGATGCAGCCCTGTGCTTGCCCAGGAGAAGCATCACTTGATGTTTTCTGAATACGGGGCAGCAGTGTCCCTGCCGTCCATTCAGCCTGCTTAGTGTTATGAAGTCTGCAGTGATGTCTGTGGCATGTTAATGAGGTACACGAGCGGAGAGCAGCACCGCTGGTGGAGTGCTCCCACACCGCGCCGTCTCCTCTTATTAATGAGAAAGTCCTTCTAGCCCAGGGCCACCAGATTTTGGAGACTGAGCCGTTGATCCGGCCCCTCTAAGAACCTGGGTCAACCACTACCCCCACGGGTTACCTGATATACCCAAGTGTCCTTACCCAAGAGGCTCTTGGGAATCTTGGACACTGTGGCATGGAGATGGGGCACTAATCCTGGCGTAGGGAGGGAATGCCATCACCGGGAAAACTCCAGACTGCCTGCTCCCACGAAGCAGAGCCCAAGCAGTTATGCTGCCTTCTAGTGCCAGGCCAAACCAGGATTTGGACCTCATCTGTGTTTGAGAACTAGGAAGCCATCATCTTGTTCTTGCATAGGGCACACACCTGTCCATGGTGTGTAAAAATCCACCTGTACACTGTCCTTTCAGTGTATGCTGTGGGTAGAAGTGGACTGCAGTGCTGGTCCCAATTAAAGATGATTGGACAAAGGCCCAGAATCATTAAGGGACATCCCATGGACACACATGTGTCCTAAGGAACTCTACAAAGCTCACCTAAGAGATGTGTACAGGTATGGTGGACTTGGATTGGTGGAAGCATGTAAGGGAAGGAGTCTTTCTGTGGAAGCATCAGGGACCAGGTTACCCTCTAGCAAAAATGGGTGTTCACCCCTATAGAGAAGCACTGTGGAAAACAGGAAGAAAGCCCACCACTGTTGCCAGGATCTTGTGCCTTCAATGGGGATGGGAGCAATGCCAATAGCTTAGAGAGGGCACAGGGGGCCATCTAGGCCTGAGAAGCATTGCCTCTCACTCTCGGAGGACTCAAGCCACTTGCCATTCAACTTACTAGCATCCAAGGGGGATTGATATCCAGGTCCAAGGAGGAAGTGCAGAGCAAGGCCTGGGGCCCTAGATAATGGAGAAACCATTGTTTAAATTGAGGCCCGAGGAACCGGACATGGGTCAGCTGACTGCTGCTGCCCATTGGAATCCTGAGGACTCACTGTGGGCTTAGGGGGCATCTCACACTGGCAGATCCTGCTCAGAGATGGAGTGGGGGCATTATATGCAGCAGTCCTGCTGTGGGTGGGGCTTGATTGTTCCCACACATGTGGTAGGTCTGCTAATGTGTGTCAAGCAACAGCCCTGACTCCCAAGAGTTCTCAAAGCTGTCAGTGACAGAGGTGCTTGCTGGATGTACTCCACTACACTCCAGGCTGAGTGTGAAATTCTATGGCTTCGATAGGATTATATTTTAAATGTTTTGCTGATTACTATCTCAAGTAGACTCCTGAGGCCCATGACACATGGGCGTGTTCTAGGTGCTGTCATACACTCCCTTACACACACACACACACACACACACACACACACACACACACACACACA